CTATCATCAAAATGATTGCAACAATAAAGTGTTGTTTTAGGTGAACATACACTTTTTGTTAACGCTGATTCATCAAGCAGAACCTGATAATGGCCCACTATATATTTGTTAATCTTAAGTATCTTGGGATCGTCATTCTTCCGTCTTAGGTGAAATGTTTCGTTGTTTAAAGTAACTAGCCGAATTAATAAGAAGAGTTAACAGTTTGCGACAGAACGATGAACTCGGCTCTTTTAAAGTAAAGATTTTGAAGAATATCGGATACGAGATATAATCGCAATGCAATCAGAGATGACATGAGCTGCTCCTCCATGCTCAATACAAGAGATGATGGCCTCACAAATTGGCGAACATTTAGTCGCTAAGAGTCAAGTCAAGTCTTTTGAGAATTCATGCTTTAATGTTCCACTCCACACTCCACTCCCTTTGTCTATATTCTATCAAAATACTATATAAAGTAAAAACAACTAATGACAGTTTCATTCACACTCAAGGATTTTAGCTTTAAGGTACAAATATTTGACCATTTTCCAGACTTCAGGAAGATATTTAAGACAAGGTTAGATTTAAGTTTGAAAATAACTTCAAAATATGAAGCACAAAATCGGCTAGAAATCCAGCCAGATATTTCTTGAACTATTCGTTCTATATTTCGCCCAGTGTAGTTACTGTTTATAGACAGTTGTAGACTGTGCCAGCTGTTGGGAAAAATAATTATTTGGAACTTAAAGCGATTTGCTGTACAAGTAAAGGCACGATTTGTCTGTCAATGACATGCAGATAAAGCTCTCAAGCTAAAGTATATATCTCTTAAGCCAATTGTGCTGAAAACAGAGCCATCAGTTAAGGCGGGGAAGTGGACATTGAAATAAAAAGAATCCAATAAGCAGTCAACAGGAGGCCCAAAGCTGCATGTCCAACTGTTCGCGCCATTTTGACGTCCTTATGCATGACTGTAAACCAAATCAGAAAGCAAACAACAGCAGCAAGGACATTTAATGGTGCCTGTTGAATTCCTGGAATGTGTGAGATGCGTGAGATGTGTGTACGCCGTAGGGGTTATAAAAGCTCGGATTGTTTGTCTAGCAGGCAACACAGATAACAAAACACACAGACAAACATATATACATATACTAGTATATGGAATCACAGGACATGGATAACTATAACAACAACAACACAGCTGGCAATGGGTTTCAAAGTTTTATTACCTCGCTAGGAGCCGGTCCTCTTGGCCAGTAGGTATCAAGATTTTATGGCATCGTTTACAAACGTGGGTGGATTGTCCCTATGTGCGGGTGTGTGTGTGTGTGTGTGTGTTTGTACTTATATCGCCATTTCCTTGACTGTTCAGGTGAATTTTGACCACATCGTTGCGACAAAAATAGCTAAGTATGAGTATGTGTGTGTGTGTGTGTGAGATATAAAGATTAGATAAGAAGCATTGGCGGGTCTAGTTTCATTTGTTATATGTACAATTTTTTGGCATATTCGTTACGCCTCTGCAGCGTTTGTGGGCGTCCCATTAATTTATGTATTTATATCTATGCTCTCTCCAATAAACGGCTAATCGGGCATATTAGTTTTCCAATTTAATTTGGCAACTCTCAAAATCAATTTTGAAATAAATGTGTCTCTAAACAAATTTCACCAATTCTACCGATTGATACTTGGTCTATTTTTTGATTCCGCACTCAAAGAGTATATTAGTATGTGGTGCGAATGTATGTTACATACAAAAGAAGATATATTTTAGAAATACAATATTATTAAACAATTTATTTAACAATCTTTGAGAGAAGTCTGAAGAAGTGTCGTCCAATATATATAATATTATAAAACATATTTCATATTTAATCTAAAATATTGTAAATATTGTAAATATACATATACATACATACATTGTGTATATACTTGTACATAGATGTAAGAGCGTCCTATAGATGCATACTATGGACAACTCTTGTATTCCCCATTAATTTTCAACTAGCAGATTACTAGTTTAATAAATTGTATACACATTGAAAAAAAATTGTTGAAGACTTTGTATTAAAATGGAAATAATAACTGTTTGTCAATTTAAAAAAACTATGCAAATAGAATTTACTTCTATAAAAAAATTACTTCCATTATTCTTAAGATTTTCCAACCCCGCTTGGGATGTTTATGGAAATAAATTTTTTTTGTCAATTTAAAAAACTGTGCAAATAGAATTTGCTTCTATAAAAAAATTAATTCCATTATTCTTAATACTCTTAAGACCCCTCTTGGGATATTTTCAAACCCGTCCTCGCAACAAGTGGTTGTATTGTAAAGGAATCAGGAATCAAAGGAAAAGGTCGCGTAGGTATAGACGCCTAGCAAGCTCACCGATATTAGCAACTTCAGTTCAGAGTCTGGAAATCCAATAAATTGTGGACAAAGAGTTTAAAGAAATGAAAGATGAAAGCATCCGGGAATATTGCTCTATTAGTCAGCTAGTGAACAATTGCGACTCAGTAGCTCCGGAAAGAACTAAACTTGTAATCAATAATCGAAGCAAATAGTTTTAATCATAGAAATTAAGAAATGCCAAGTAGTTCTGCTTTGAGGGATCAAATTTTTAATTTATTATATGTTTACTATCGAAAAAAGGAGACACTATAAAAGTTAGGAAAAAGCCTTATAAGCTAAAAAGGTCTAAATAGGAGAAATGTAATCAAATTACAATAAAATCTAATAAACGCCTTCGAATCGGTGGAGCAACATTATTTGCCATTAGGCTAGCTATGCTCCAACTCAGAGCCAAGTGTGGTCAGAGGCGTCAATAGATCTACCAAATTAAAAGGAAAAACTTAACAAAGAAAGGAAACTTCAAATTAGTTGAAAGTTATTTTGGAAAAAGAAAATATGTATAATAAAAGAGGAAAGAAAAAAACGGAATCTCGAACCGGGTGGGGAAAGATTTATTGGCCAGTCCAGCAAGCGTTGCCTCGTTTTAAAGCTGGTCGTTCCTGGTCAGACATTACGGAGATGGGTGAAAGAAGAGGCTTTCATCAAGGGAAGAGACAGTTCGATTGAGAGCAGATATACACCAGTAGTCAAGTTTAACTTTAAGTTATATTTGTTATTTAAGAAAAGTCACTGTTTTTAACAAGCACTGAATAAAGGAAACATAAATAATGAAGATGGAAAGATCGAATAGTGTTCTGCTTTGAGGGATCTATTTTGCCTCAGTAGTCTAGTTCAACTTTTAATTATCTTACCAACTAAGGAAAAGCTATTTTTTAAACAGCAAATCAATAAAAAAGAATAAAAACAATGTTAAAGGTCTAGAATAACAAAAACTAATTGAGAGACTGCTTCCAAATAGTTTTTGGGGTATTTTCAGCTTCGTTAGCAGCTAAATTGAATTTGTGGCCATGGCTTTAGTTGTGAAAAACAACAATGTATTATATAGTAGAGTAGAGTCCAGTAAAGAACAAAGTAGGCAAAGTTCTTTTCTTCTTCTTTCGGCCACAACTTACAAAAGCAACAAATTAGGGAAAGTTGTTGCAACTCTTGGCAAGTTGGTGGAAGGAAAACTTGCATTTAATCATTTATAACTTATCTATTTGGTATGAGTCCTATATAGTATGTATGTCAGCCAGCAGATTCGCCCAGCAGGACACGCCAACTGGTAGGGGCACGTAACTAAGTTATTTGAGGAGTCTGCCCGTCTGTGCTGCTTCAGGGTTTCGTTGCCGACAGTCCATCAGATGGAGGCACATAGACTGACTGTCAGACGGCTTGTATTTCATTTTTAATTTACTGGCTCAGGCTGGAATTTACACGATTTTCAGCTTTGTTGCTGTAACCGCTGCTGCTCCGCTCTCCCACATTCCCGCTCAATGTTAATTAAAGTTCTTAAGCCGTTTGTAATCCGTTGTGTATCTTTAAAGTTTGCCAGACGTGCCGCATGCGTGAGGACACCTACAAGTATATATGTATAGGAGGAGTATAAAATATATAAACCACCTCTGACTATGGAAAGTTCGTTTTCTGCTTCAGCGCTGCACTTCCTTTCCGCAGCTCTTGTCATTCCTTTAATTACAGTTATCTCGAGATGAAAATGTTCGCTCCGCTCCTGTCCATTACACCTTCATTTCAAAGTCATTACCACCTTGTTGCAGGTGGCACTTGGACGGACTCTGGTTTTAGCGCTGCGGCTTAAAGCGTTCGTTGCTATCCACACTGGCCAATCGCCTTAATTGAAGTGCCTCTTTCAATCTGCAGAGGAAATTCTCATTCCGCGAATATATGTCCAATTAAAATGCATTTTAAGCTTTCACGCTTTTTTATTCAATTATGTGATGCTCTTAAATGCAAAGATGATGAGTGCCTATTAAGCTTGTGGCACACTGCTATCAAAGCAATGAATTTCTTTTTCTAATAGTCTTGTATAACATCTTTATACGTATCATCTTTATTTCGAATACCCTTTGCAGAAGATCTCAAGTGATCCTTTGATGATTCCTTTCTTGATGATTTTTCACAGATTTTTAGCAGATTTGTCAGATTGTGGGCTTCAGTGATTCACGGCTTTGTATATTTGCGAACATCGTCATCATCTTTGATGGCCAGCTTCTTCTCATCCAGTTCTCGATAGGATTTGACAGATTTTGCGAGCGAAATCTTTAGCAGCTGGGTTCATCATCTTCTTCTCTGCGGCTGCCAGATAAGATAAGATAATAATAGTTTTATAGATTTTATGATGTTTGCCAAATTTTGTTAGTTAGCCTTTGGTCGCCATTAGTGCTAAATAAACGGTTTTAAATTGAGAAGTTAACTTAAATTGGAACGATTTTGTAGCTTAAATGTACATTAAGTGAAGAAAATATGAAATTATGAACATTTACCAGAGGCATGATAGCGAATATTATATACAAATATTATGCAGTATCGCTCTATCGATTCCTTAAAGACACATTACAATTATTATTAACAAAATATTTTATTGGTCTAAACATCACTTATAAGAACTAGTAGTAGGACAACGAGTCATCGCAGTAGAACTCTGTGCTGCTTTTACGCTCTTCCTTTTCAAATTCAATCGACTTAGCTGCTGTCCTTCCACTATTAAATGTGGCTATAAAGCATAGCAGTGCGAAAACCGTCAACAATAATAAGCAGTTCATGTTGGCTCTTAGTTCTCCCTCGTCTGAACCTATATTAACTGGCTTTAATAGGAATAGTTGGTTCTTATAAAGAGAGCAACGTTTTCCACTAAACCGTTAAATAAATGCGTAACACAATCTGTCAATAATCCATAAAGCTATTCGGATTCACGATCTTAATGAGCCATATCAGTCGGCTTGTCTGCCTTTGCTTCACGCTGTTAAGTGTACACTAAGAAAACAAGTAAAAAAGCTAAAGTCGGGTGTCCCGACTTTGAAATACTCTGTACATATGTTTACAATAATTATAGAAAATAAAAAAAATTAAGAAAATAAAAAAAAAAATTTGATCGATTTTACCTCTCTCGGTATTCGAACTCACGTAAAGGGTGTATAATTGCACATTTACATAGCAATTGCGTCTGTGTGAGTGTATGTATGCCTATGCGCATCAATTCGTGTCTGTGTAAGCATTTTCGCAGTCAACCAAACAGCAACATCAACAACAGCCGCGGGCAGCGCTTGAGCAGCGCTGCAGCAGCGCTGCATCAGCAAATATATTTATGGCTATAACTTCTTGTTAAATCGGTCTATCATAATGAAATTTGGCATACGGACACATAATAACTAACTGGGGGTATTTCCAAAGTTTTAGTTCGAAATTCCAAGAATTACGGGAGTTACGATTTGCGGGGTAGAGGGGGGAGGGAGGGGAATTCCAAAATATACATTTTCTGCGTATTCACATAAGGCATCTGGGACTAAAATTTGGTGTTCCTAGGTCTTATAGTCTCCGAGATATAGGCGATTATACGAATGGAAAATCGGGAAAACCCCCATAGGGGGGAAGTGGGGGGGAAAATCAAAAAAATAAAACAAACTCGTATAGAATACACACATAACGCATCTTCGTGCAAAATTTGGTGTCTCTATCTCTTATAGTCTCTGAGATCCAGGTGTTCATACGGACGGACAGACGGACAGACGGACAGACAGACAGACAGGGCTAGATCGACTCGTCTCGTCATGCTGATCAAGAATATATATACTTTGTGGGGTCTGCCACGCCTCCTTCTGCCTGTTACATTTTTCAGCTCCCGCAAACCTAATATACTCTTGTACATTTCATGTACAGAGTATAAAAACATATTAATTTTTAGTTTCTACTATTGAAGTTAAGTACCAAGCTAAAATTGTATATTCTATGATTAGGATTTTTAGGATTTTGGCAATACTATTTATGTTTTAGGAGGGCTTCAATAAAGTTTTATTCATATTTGGAAATTTCAAATATGTTGTAGAACAAAATGAAATTTAACTAAAACTCAATTGTTTATAGTTACATTTTCAATTAGAAATAAAGTCAAAACTGTCGTTGTTCCACTTAGTTTTAGAAATGTTTTAAAAATCCGAGACACGAGACTGCATTAATTTGGGGGATAAATATTCTAAAACTGCTTATTGTAACGGCTCAATTAGTAAAGGTACCTTAACGATGCATGCAGAAATAAATATCTTATTTAAATTAAAATATATCAGACTCAAAGAAAGTCAAAAAATAGTTTGAATTATTAAGCTGATATTTAACTTTTGTTTATCACTACAGTTGAGCTATTGTCAAGACAGTAAGTTATCCTTTTTCTATATACAAAAAAAAAAAAAAAAATCAGTAAATTAACAATTGGAGAGACATCGATTTTTGTATCTTTTTAAGTGAAGTTAGTCTCATGGGCAAAGAAGAGAATGTTGTTTTGAAGAATTATTTTTGCAAATAAATACAATAAGTACAGTCAACACAAGATAGTAGTTTCTCATAGTGGTGACCAGGATTCGCTAAAAGTGCTCGTTGATCAGCTCTTTGGGAATGTTCATACCATTTCACATAGTTTTTTCACATTCATTTATTGATATAAGGTGGGCGAAATAATTAACTAGGACACTACGTTTCATAGTATAGCAACTGAACCGTTCAATATATTTTCAAAAAACAAATTATTGCTTAAACTTAATAATATTATCAATGGACTTCAAGTTAAATAAAGCAAATACCGCCATTTCACGATTGGCTGTATTAGCCACTCAGGTGTCAGTAGAGAGAAGCTAAATTCAAATATATTACGCGTATTCACGGAGCCTAAGTGAACATTCTTTAGAATAATTAGAATAAATAAATACTGATTTTTTTCCACATAGCAAAAAATCTGCATTTATGCAAATCGAGGTACAAACTGAAAAGTAATAGTAACATTTCAACAATTGCCCCACGGGTATAAACAACTTAATTCAACCTATGCAATGATATATTTATATATTTTTTTATATGGTATATACTTCTTGTACAAGTATGTATTCTTTGAAGACTTTCTTTGAATATCGAAAGTATACAACTGAATATAGAACAAGCGTTTTCGATTCCGCTAGATTGATCTTTAATTTAAGACATGGTTTTACGACGTGTTCTTTAAATATTTGTGGTAAAAATTACAATTACCTTTCACAGACTATAGAACAATTTATTTCACAGAATGAATTTTTCACCCACTTCAGTTACCCTTACGAGACGTCTCTACTAGAAAAACTGTCTGATTAAAGAGCAAAAATGAATTTAAAAGAAATCTTAAGGGGAGAGAACTGGTTGAACTGGAAAAAGACTTATGCACGAAATGTATTTATTATTTAAATTAATAAAATTCAGAATTTAAATATACAAATAAGAAATATGTGTTTTGAATTGACAATATGGGTTATAACCTTAAATTCCCCTCACTTATTCGGTTATTTGTGCCTCTGAATCGAAAGAAGTGTGTTTTTTGTTTGTTTTCACTGTAATTCTACAATTAAATATTGTATTAAGGTGTAAATACAACTGACATGGCCAAGGTGTGTGTTGGGTGTAAATATTTAGCGTATGCAGACACAGTTAAGAGTATTTATTTAGACCATTAAGCCACACGTATTTAAGCTTCTTCGTCAGATGGACTTTAGTTGCATTAAAAAGTCTGATAAAGTATGAATATGCGGGATATTGTTTTTATGTGCATTGCCATTCTGCTCCTGTTTTCCACATTAACAGAAGGCAACAGGAGATGCAACACCCGAGGACCAGGACGACCGCAACAACGACCACGTCCACAGCGATTTCCAGGACGTCCTTTGCCACCCCGAAGGCCTGGACCTGTGCGGGCTTAAAAGCATATATGTAACTAAATGCTTCTGCTTCCATTTAAGGAATAATGAACTCACAATATGGCTTCCTTAATAATCCAGAGATTTTTATTTAAATACATATTTAAAGTGTTTCCTTTTTAATTGCGAATAAATATAATGCGTGTGCACTGGACGATTTATAGCAAACATATACACCAGCATGTGGTCTAATAATAGGATGAGTCGCAAGACGCACTGTAGTAGAAGAAATCGCTAGATGACGATTCGCAGGAGCTAATTTCGATTCCGCCACCGCCAGTGCCGCCAGCGATGACCCACTCGCTATCAGAGTCGTCATAGCTATCGTAGTCATAGCTATAGTAGTCATAGTCGTAGCCATAGTCGTCATAGCCATAGCCGCCTCCATAGTCGCCAATACCCCCTCCATAGTAGTCACCAATACCCCCTCCATAGTAGTCACCGATACCCCCTCCATAGTCGTCAATACCACCTCCATAGTCGTCAATGCCCCCTCCACAGATATCAGAGTCATCTCCACATCCATAGTCGTCGTAGCTACCTCCAGAGTCATCGGAGCCACTTCCTGAGTCGTCGTCGGAATAATACGAAGGCACAGGTCCACCTGCTGTTGGGGATAAGTAGAAAACCCCAACTATCAGCACAAACAAATCAAAACGCATCTTTCTTTCTTTCTTCTCGGCCACTTTTCCAAGTAATTAAAGCACCGACTAATGTTCAATACTCGTATGATCTGCCTTTTATACTTTTTAAAATTCAACCCTATATGCAATGTTATAAAATAATCTGATTTTTAAAATCTGGGTATCGAATGCGTCTTCACGCTCGTGTTTTTTCTGTAATACTCTTGAATTATTCAGTCTCATTCCCGGATTCTTAAGGCAATTAATTCTAACTAGCTGAAGCAGTTTTGTTTTAACCTTAAATGCTTATCGGGGTATCCGAACATTGAGGAAAGGACAGAATCAATATGGCGAGCTCTGGATATCAGGAGAGCACTCCTTAAACTGAAGTGGCTCGAAATTTCCAAAGTTCTCACTTTCAATTTCTACAAACTCTGTACCTCAGATCGTTTTCAGATACAAAAATATCAGTCATTTTTTTAAACTATAGTAAAAGCTATTTATTTGAAATTTCAATAAAAAAATTACGAAAACTAAAAAAAAAAACAAAAAAAAAAAAAAACGGCGAATGCAGTTTATTTTGTGGTCCTTTTATCAGAATTCTGTTTAATAATAAGAATCTACGCTGGTGTAGTCAGAAGGGTAGCTGGAATCGACATTAGTTGTATTCGGAATCGGATTGGTAGTAGCAGTAGTTATTATAAGTGGCGGAATTGCCGGAATATTCGTTATAACCCACAGTCAATGGAACACATGTGGTTGGGGATAGTATAAAGTTAACCCGACAATCACCAAAAACTATGCAAAATTCATTTTTCGTGATCTTCTCAACCAGTTTTCAAAATCTGGGCATTCAATGCAGTTTTACGCTGGTGCTATGTTCTTGTAATCGTCATCAATTATTTGGAGAAAACAGACGGATCTAAATTCATATTCAATTCATTCAATCATTAGAATGATCATTTATTCCCAATTATGCTTGGGCATGATCAATGCATAAATACAAGCATCTGTTAAGCTCTAAGTTTTATTTATTGGAGTTGAAAATTTCCAAAACATTATGAAACTTTTACCATAGGTATGATGGCGAATATTACTTTATATAAACATATTATAAACAACGTGCTCTATCAAATGCTTTAGGACAAACTACAATTATAAGATCAAAATCTTTTATTGGTCTAAACATCACTTATAAGAACTAGTAGTAGGACAACGAGTCATCGCAGTAGAACTCTGTGCTGCTTTTACGCTCTTCCTTTTCAAATACAATCGACTTAGCTGCTGTCTTTCCACTATTAAATGTGGCTATAAAGCATAGCAGTGCGAAAACCGTCAACAATAATAAGCAGTTCATGTTGGCCCTTAGTTCTCCCTAGTCTGAACCTATATTAACTGGCTTTAATAGGAACAGATTTGTAAGTTGACTGCATAGTGGTGTTGTAGTGGGAGCAACGTTTTCCACGAAACCGTTATATAAATGCGTAATACAATCTGTCAATAATCCATAAAGCTATTCGGATTCACGATCTTTAAGAAGCATATCGATCGAGTCATATCAGAAGGCTTGTCTGCCTTTGCTTTACGATGTAAGTATTCACTAAGAAAGGAAGGCAATATTGCAATATTTTATTGTATTTATATTTTTCAAATTGTTGTTGGTAATTTATTGAACTTTTTTTTTAAGGAGGTGCATAAAATGAATGGGCTGATTAAAAACGCATAAGCAATATTTAAGCATATGGCGTACTAAAGGGTCAATAAATTCCTTGCACAAACGATGAATAAGTACACTTTTAATATAATAATATAATAATATTGTAGTAATAATGAAGAGTATATATGTGTGATTCAATGATTTTAGAGATATGAAAGTTTAAATAAATAGTATACAATTCAAGTTGATCTTTGAAATAGTAAAGGGATAAGATGACCTTAGAGCACACAGGATGTTACTGAAATGCGTTTCAAAATATTCGACCTAAGCAAAATCCGATTCTTTTTAGAAATAGGCTGAAATCTTTAAAAACCTTATAAAGTCAAATAAAACGATGTTTTTTTTAAAGCCATTAAGTCTCAATTGAAATATTCCTTTTATAAAACTCCGTAATGCCAAAGCCGAGGGAAATTTTTTTATAGCGATTCTGATTCCAATTGGTACGACTATAGTGATTTTGATTACAGTGGCTCAAGCGACTCCATTCATTTGGTATGCAAATAAAAAGCTTACTTCGTATTTTTGTTAATTAACCAATTCTGAATATAACATTATGTGTGTTTATATTTAATCACCTCGTTAGTCAAAAGCTGCACTTGGTTCGTTAAGCGCGCTAAACACATGTACAAGTACTGTGTATGTATGTGGCCAACCAACGACTGGCATTTCCGCCAGATGCCTTTATATACTATACGGTTATATACATACGTTTGCAGATTATATAATTGACATATTTACACTTATGTACCCTTTGTAGCTACGTAAAATTGTGGCAACTCTAAGTAAAAACAAGATAGAACGCTACAGTCGAGCAAGCCCGACAGTAAAATAGCCTGTACTCTCCACAAAAAGGAAAAATTAAAAAAAAAAAAATTAAATTATTAAAAAAAAATGAATGAATGAATTAATTAAAATAATTAATTTAATTAAATTAGAATACATGTTTATGTTCAGTTTAAACAGCATACATTTACATCACGTACCTATGCGTGTTTATATGCGTGTATGTATGCAGCACAAAGTTGAACAAAAGCAGCAACAACAACAACAGCTGCGGGCAGCGCTGCCGACAGAGCTGCAGGCAGCGCATGAGCAGCGATTTTACTTATGGCTATAACTTTCTTCAGAATTGACCTATCATGATGAAATTTGGCACACGGACACATTAGTACTAACTGGATGTACCTACCAAAATTGATTTTTAAATTCCGAGAATTGCGGAAGTTATAAGAAAAAATACGAATTGCGGGGGAGTGGGGGGGTGTATCAGAAAAAATAAACAAACTCGTTCTGCCTAGGGCTTATAGGAACCTTGATACCAATTTTGGTTATCCTAGCTCTTGTACTTACTGAGATCCTTGCGCTCATACAGACAGACGGACAGACGGACAGACGGTCAGACGGACAGACGGACAGACGGACATGGCTATATCGACTCGTCTTCTCATCCTGATCAAGAATATATATACTTTGTGGGGTCTGCCACGCCTCCTTCTGTGTGTTACATACATGCGCACAAAACTAGTATAGCCTTTCACCCTTTGGGTACAGGCTATAAATAATTGCTTTAAAAAATTAAGAGCGTTCCAACACCACATACATTTGGCTCTGCGTCTATTCACTGTACAGATGAAAGCACTTATAAAACTAAACTATAAACTTTATTGGGAATTGTATATGGTAGTATATAGCTTCGTTTCTTGAATAGAGTTGTTTTAGAGAAAATGTACCCGGCAAACCAGCCACAAAAATCGGTGCAATGTTCTAAAGAGGTATACCATTATACACATAGTTTAAATTGACTTTATTTTATACAAACATACTATACTTGTATGTTGTTCTCTTGCTTGACAACAGACAGAACCTTAGAACCCATTTGATCAGCTTCCTTTTTCGTAGTCTTTAAATAGTTGATAAACAAATTTAAACTTGACATTACGATATTTATCTGTCTAGGTTTAATACAAAAATGTAGTATTTGCCCAACTCAGGACAGATTTTAATTAAAGAACAACACAAACCAAAAGGTCTTTAGATACAAACAAACATACATATGTAAAAGGCTTACAAACGCTGATGACTAATATACCTAATGAAAGTTTTTGTATATATGTACTTCTATATCTCTTATATATTTCCCAAAACCTAATCATAAGGTGTAGAAGGCTTACGTAAATATTTAACGACCAATTAACGGGTCCATATGCTTGTGCCTCTCTAAGATCGACTATATAAAGAAAAGAGATCTGAGCTTTCAAATTCAGTTGCAGTTAAAGTCTCCGACGTGTGCATTCGATATAGATTTCGAAAATGTTATTTTTTTTGGGCACCTTCATATACGGTCTATTACTTTTTGCGGCGGCTAAGGACCTAATGGCACCAGAATGGGTGGCACCAGATAACCCCTTGGAATGGATGTATGGTGAACCGTCAAATGAGGCGGAATCATTACCGGAAAGTGAATATTTTTAAGAACAGAAGCAGTTTCCCAACTAAGATGTGTTAATATTGTGATATACTGCTAAAAAGGATCAAAGAATGAAGTGTTAAATAACTTTAAAATTCAATTTCTCTCAATGCAGAGAATTTTTTTTGAAAAACTGAAAGAGTAACATCATGTTTTTGTACCAAACACTTGCTACAACTGGCTTGTGATTGTATTATAGAAATATATAAACATATAGAGCAGATATAGTTAATACTATCATGAATATAAATCGTCTAGCACATATGGGAGATATATTGGAAAATCACTTTTGTATCAAATATAAATTTTAAGATTTCTTATTAAAAATGTAGAACTTATACAAAATATTTTCAATGCATCTAAGCATCTAAAAAATATATTTTTTAATAGAGCTAATATGGAGCTTGTGTTTTATAAAAAAACGGGCTGTTGTTTTATCTCATTTGGAGGATTACATATAAGGGAAAAATGCAGTGTTTTTCTTTATTTTCCACTGAGCAATGAATGCGATTTCAATTTGAAACGAAGACAGCATATGCGTGGCTTTTCTCAAGGACATTTTTATCGCAATACAATATTGATATATCTTATTCATTAATGGACTTATTAATAATGTAATCTGCCTCACTGTCGTAATTGCAAGCAGCAATGTAATATATACTTGTACTTAAGTATATTGCTGTTGAAACCCACTGGATGTTCGCGTTTGCTGTTTTTCTTGGTTCTCAGCTTTTAATTTATGACACTTTTTTTCGTGTTCGCTATTCTTTTATGTGACGTCACGAACTGTATTGAAACGTCTTGGCATTCTGATAACATAATATTTATGTTGAAGGAGTTCAATGGAAATTAAAA